GGGGGGGGAGGGTCCCTGATGGACTTTTTTTGGGGGGGGTAGGTGGCCCCCGACTCCGAAAAAGTTTCCCCACCCTTGCCATAAATAAAGACCACTTTGAAACCTTTTATTTTGGACATAAATTAACATTTTATTATGCCATGTTGGTTTACCAACCTTTGTTTTTCAAATAAAGTTAAAGTGTTAAGTTAAAGCTTAATCTGTAATCACTATCAAAGTAAATATTGCCTTTCTTACCAGTCACATATGCCCACTCCGAAAAAGTTTCCCCACCCTTGCCATAAATAAAGACCACTTTGAAACCTTTTATTTTGGACATAAATTAACATTTTATTATGCCATGTTGGTTTACCAACCTTTGTTTTTCAAATAAAGTTAAAGTGTTAAGTTAAAGCTTAATCTGTAATCACTATCAAAGTAAATATTGCCTTTCTTACCAGTCACATATGCCCCTTATGTAATAGCTCTAGGAGCCTAATATGAATAATGTAGTATTTAAGGTATTTAGAGATGAGCAAAGGCATTTCATTGTCATGAGTGGTTGGCTGATGGTCCAGAGAAAGGTTTGCTTTGAGTGGGGTGGGCTGCAGGTCAAAGTTTGAGAACCACTGTCTTAAAGGGGTAAGACTTGCACTGCATAAGCATTCTGCATCTTTTGAAAATTAGGCCCCTGGAACTGGACATCCAAAAATTGAGGTACCCTATGTAACTATTTACACGTAAAGACTTTTGAACTCTTTGTTTTCTACAGCATGGAAAGCAACCTGTTCCCCTTAAAATCTACCATCTTACATTAAATGCCTGTGCGTTTCAGTTAAACAGTTTTCCGGTTTGTATTTAAGTATCTAGATCTCCGAATATGGGGGAAAAGACTAAATTAGAGCTAGGATGGATAAATGTTTGGCTCATTTATACGGTATAAAATGTGACCGAGAAACATGCAAATAAAATTGAAAAAGGGAAAGTCTAAAAATTGGTGCCTCAAGTCTTACGATATGGTGCGAAGTCTTAGGCAACAAAGAAGCCTGAGAAAATAATCTGTTCCATGGAAATGCAGATGTAGTGCATCATGACACCATGTGAGGAATGTATACATTTAGGCTAGGTCTATCCTACAGAGCTTTTGTGCAAAAAGATCATTTTTCCGCAAAAACTTGTAGCGCGTCCACACAAATTGTTCTTGTGCAAAAACCTGAAGAACAAGAGGGATTTTTCCAATGTTGGTAGTCCTCCTTCTACGAGGATTAACTCCTTTTTGCGTAAGAGCTCTTGTACAAAAAGGTGTGTGTGGACAGGAAACAGGAGTTTTTTGCACAGAAAGAGGCAATCAAAAAAAGCTCAGGTGCCCTGGTGGCCATTCTGTACATAACAATCAGAGTTTCCTTTTGAGAGAGCGTCCATGCAGTGTGGCTGCACTCTTGTGCAAGAACTGTTTGCAGAAGGTCTCTTCTGCAAAAAGATTTTTGCGCAAGAAATCTATAGTGTAGCCATAGCCTCAAAGACTTTCTGAAAGACACCTACATATAAAATGGGGGAATATGGGCTCAGACGACTTGGTAATGTAAAGTGCAGTTCTAACAACCAGATGGGTAAGAGTCCCATGAATCAGGACTGAAGGAAAAAGACAGATGCCAATCTGAGAAGAAGTGGCAAGAGATCCTAAGACAGTCATGTTTAACATGTAGGATGACAGAGGGCATGGCATGAACAGAGAACTCTGGAAGGACAGGACAAGTAGACCAGACCCCATTTGCTAGGGTAAAGTCCAGGAAGACATGAACATCTATATTTTAAAATCTCTGTAAAATGGAACTTACTGAGGTTGGACAAATACTCAGATATTTTGAGTGACTCCACAAATCTAAATTTTTGGATAGTATTCAATAGAGTTGGTTTAAAACCACAAAATATATGAATTTGGATAAATTATCTAATACTCTTTGATTAGTGTTTATATTTGTGAGGTTTTGTTTTTGACTAACTCAACTGCCTACTTCCCTGTCTTTAGCTACTCTCCTTCTCCTCCTTGATGTCATTCCACTTTCTCCTGGTGTTGCTTCTCTTGTTTCTTTCAGTGTATATTTTGTGTCTCCTTACTTCTCTCCAAATTCTAATGTACTTTCTATCATCAGTATCCTTCCTGCCTCCACATACCCAGACATAGTATGTAGAAACTAATAGTCATAAGACAAACTAATAGTCACATCCACATACGGAAGATAGTGGTCGAGTCAAGGAAAATAAACAAATGAAAAGTCAACCTCTGATTTCTCTTTGGTGCTAGGATTTGTACTAGAATATCCCTGGGCCCAGCTTGAGAGATCTGACTACTAGGCATATAGTAAATTAGAAGGTCTCACTGTCCCTCATTCTGGATGGTAGAAGGAGCACGTTCTATGTTCTTCCATTCCAAAACCTCCTGGTTGCTATGTTAAAACTCTTCTGCTAGTTTACATTTTCCCCAGCCTCCTGACTTCTATGGGGTGGGGAGAGAGAGTGTTGGCTATTTGACCCTTAGCTTTATAGTAGATTTTTTTTAAGCCATAGTTTGCTGTCTGGTGTCTGCTCTTCTAATCTTGCAGTCACCAGCTACTGAACATTGTAGAGAATCCTAGCACAGTATTGAAAATAACTGTCATGACTGAGAATAAAAAATCTTGCTTTGCCTAATTCTTCTGATACTGGGTAAATGGTTACATCTATTCACAAGAGAATGAGTTTGTTGAATACTTGATTGGATGAATGTCTACCTAGAGGAACAACTTTGTAGGAGAGCTATGGGGCTCAAAGGCTCAGAGACTCAAAGGCTATGTCTAGACTGCAGGGCTACGTCTAGACTGGCCCCTTTTCCGAAAGGAGCATGCTAATTTTAAACTTCAGAATAGGGAAATCCGCGGGGGATTTAAATATCCCCCGCTTGATTTAAATAAAGATGTCCGCCGCTTTTTTCCGGCTTGTAGATAAGCCGGAAAAAAACGTCTAGACTGGCCCGATCCTCCGGAATAAAGCCCTATTCCGGAGGATCTCTTATTCCTTATTTGAAGTAGGAATTTGATCTAAGCAAATTGCGTATCTTATTTCGATGCTATTTCAAAATTGCTTATTTTGTCATTTGGCAGTGTCTACACAGCACCAAATTTCAAAAGAAAGTGCTATTACAAAATGTCCCTTACTCCTTATAGAATGAAGTTTACAGAGATGTCGGAATAGCAAGCCCGAAATAACGGGCGTGCTGTGAAGACGTGGAATAACTATTTCGGGATACTCTGGTATCCTGAAATTGTATTGCAGTGTAAAGACACTATCAGTAAATCGCATTTAAGCTGTGATTGCTATGGATGGAATGGCCACCAGGGCACCTGTGCTTTTTCCTTTTTCAAAAAAACTCTCTCTTCCCCATCCACACACGCCTTTTTCCAAAAAAGCTCTTTTGGAAAAAGGCTTCTTGCTCATAAAAAGAAGTTTACCAATGCTGGAAAACCCCCTCTGTTCTTTCAATTTTTTTTCCCAAAAGCAATTGCAGTGTGGATGTAAGTGAAGATTTTTCAGAAAAATGGCCGTTTTTCCAAAAACTCTGCAGTGTAGACAGACCCAAATTTTCTCGTAGTCTAAATTTTCCTGCTCATGATTTATTAAAGATTCGATAAAGTTGAGCTGATGAATTGGATTTCTGCAGAACATGGTTATACCCCAGCACTATCTTTAAAACTAACATTCGATTAAGGGGATACTGCATTTCCACTTCCTAATGGAAGTTTGATGTCCTTCAAGGGGGAGAGGTTGGCTCTGCCAGGTATCTAGAATCTATCTACCAGTGCCCCCAAGCCCCCTACCAAACTAAGAATTCTTAGCTAAGAGTTCACAAATACAGAATCACTCTTGAACAAATGTAATTAAAATATTAGTTGGAAAAAGTGGTGCCACCATTTTGAATTGTTACAGCCCTAATTTTGTAGTGCTTATTAAGGTTACTTTTAGTGTGGGTAGTTGCATGCCACTGTTTCCTCCCACACAGATCTGTAATTATTCATTGTTCCAGATGTTTATATTTTGAAGTAAGCATGAAAATACAAATATTTCAGTTGTCAGTAATGACTCTAATGGTTACAAACTGGATTGCAAGTATTCTCAGTAGGGAGACCAAAGACTCAAAGTACATTGAACTACCTTTTTGCATTCTTCAGAGTGGTCCCTTTTAATATTCTGTAATAGTCCCAACACAGCAATTTTCAATAGTGCTGCTGTATTAGTGCAGGACTCTGTATCCTATTTTTAATGAAGACAGATGATTCTGAAACACAGCAGTTCAACCTGCAATACATTAGTGGAGAGGGATGAAAAAAAATCTTGCACTGATGCTGCCTGAGCCATACTAATTTTGTAAACAAAAATTTCAGTCTCTGCTCTAGAGGGCTGTCTATTTTCTGCACCTTTTACATACACGAAATAACCTACATTCCATAAGAATCACATCCAGAAAGAGACTCCCAGAGGCCATGGTGGAGGGTTCAGTTTGGACCTTCTTGGTAGTGATTTACCAAATGGCTGAAGAAATCTATGTAGAGACAAGGTCATGGAGGTCTGGTCTCTTTTATTGGTGTAATAAAATTTCTCTCTTCAATAGAAGATGGCCCAATAAGAGTACTTCATCCACCTTTTGTCTAATATCCTGACACTGTGGCCTACATAGACCATTTACCAAGTCTTCAGAGAAGAGGATGAAGTTACCTTCATACTTCCACTTTGGGAGTATGGGGGAGTGATGGAGGTATTTGCATAGCAGCTGGCTCTACACTTCTCTTTCAACTTCGCCTTAAACAGTAACACTAGACCATCTCCACAGGTCAGAGGCTCTGGCAGCTGCAAAGGACTGAGGAAGAAATTGGATTAATTCCTAAGCAAGATAAATGAACTGTTTCATCATTTTCTCCTTTAAATCAAAGCTCAAAATTTATTAACAAGTTCCTTGCATTAGTACATATAAACAGATGTTGGCCCGAGGCCTTCCAACAGTGGGAGAAGGAGCAATTATCCCAGGGTCTGCTTTGTGGGGTTTGTTTTTCTTTGTTTTTTTTTAAGGCCTCAGAGCTTTTGGAAGCAGATGTGGTAGCAGCCTGAGCCCTCTAAATCTCCACCAGAGTGCCATGCTGTGTGCTTTGGGCAGTTCTGAGGGCTGGCTGATCCCAATTGTGCCTCTTCTGCCCAAGGCACTGCCCCTTCTGGGAACACAGAGCAAGGCATGCCTCCTCCACCCCCACCGTGCCCAGGGGCTCAGAAAGTCTGTCTGTCCCCCTGCTTGAAATGTTTAATGCAGACATAGTTTGGCTAGTGCACCATAATCCACTAATTCTGGCCACATCTACACTACCTCCTGCCCCCTTCTCCCACCTATTGCTGTATTTGGGGAAATTGGCCCCAGCAATTGCCTCGCAAAGACACATACTGATAAATTGAAATAAAACCCTGGGAGTTGTTTCAATCTCCAACTCAAACTATTGCCCTCTTGTATAAAGCATCTCAGTATATCCTACTTTTTATCCTGCTTTCTTGGTTACTTAGGCCCACACAAATGGTGATTGTGACTAACTTGGATCCCTACATTTTTGTGCATCCTACACACTGATGTCATAAGCCAAGACTAATACCAGTGAGGTGAATATCCTTATTTGTTTGCTTTTCTCTTTCTGTTGGAATACCATATCGGAAGGGGAGAAAATACCAAACTACTTAGTAGGCTAAATTGACATTCAAATTCACCATCTACGATAATTAGTCCAGGAAGTCTTCAATAGTAGCTCAGACTTCTAAAATGATTGATCAGATGGCAAGGGTCGTAAATTGGATCAATGAATGACTACCTTATTAAATATGAAGACTTCAAGAAGACTCAAGTTAATGTAACTTTCAAAGTTGGATTTGCACAGAACACACTAGTGCAGGCATAACATAAGCGTAAAAAGGCCCAGTTCATTTTTGTACTAACTGTTTACAGATCCCAAGATGCATCTTGTCTATCAAATTCTTAGACTGTTTTTACTACCACTTCCTTGCTCCGCACAATAAATAACTTGCTTGATAAGTTACTCTGGGTGTAAAGCTGTATTTCTCAGTGGGCCACAAAACCACTTTGAGAAACCTGTTAACTGGCTGTGCCGGTTTATTTACCGGCGCTACGGCCATGGAGCCTTGTGGCTGCCATTGGCTCTGTTTTGCCATTTGCAGCGAAGAGGAGCTTCAGGAAACAGCAGCCCAGCCCACACCGCTTCCCATGGCTCCCCTTGGCTGCAAAGGAGCCTTGTTACTTGGGGTGCTTCTTACTATGCTGATACAAATCCAAGCCCTGACACCAGTAGCTACCCTATGGCTGCGTCTAAACTGGCACGTTTTTCCACAAAAGCGCTCCAGCTTCTCTCCCTCCACCCCCTGACACTAGGAGCTGGAGGGGTGGGGTGGGGTGGGATGGGGCTGGGTTGCTCACTGATTCTGGCCCAAGGGCTCTTGTTAGTGCCACAGGCCACCCTGCCCCCCCCCCAAGCGCAGGGGCTCCCCCAGATTGTCCTATGGACAGGACGGCTCTTTGATCTGTTCTGGGCACCGCCAAAAATAAAAACCTGATGCTGGCAACCAGGTCTGTGACCCACTGCTGGTGCCTAGGAAACTTAGGGGAGGCTACCTTCTATGAATGTAAATAGAATAAAAGCTGGAAGGGGTTGGGAAAACTAGACTGGGGCAAGAAGGTAGGAAGGGGCCAGGAATATGTTTGGAACTGCAGGCTGGAGTGGGGGAAGAGAGGTGGATTGGCTGAGTAAAGAAAGTAGGGATTGGGAATTGGGTAAGGGAATGAGGATAGGAGGGACTGGGAGCCAGTGGGTTTTGAGCAGGCAGGGAGAGTAGATTGACATCAGATGACTCAGTACAAGAGACTAGGATCTGATGGTCAAGGAGACAAGGAACCAGTGAGGTAAGGTAGAAGTGGAGATGACTAAGGAACAATGATATCAGGGTGGGAGTACAACTAAGGAAGCCTCTTTTAGCTCTGGTCTTCACTAGGGAGTTATTTCACTATAACTCCCCTTATTTTGAAATAAGCAGTATGTTCACACTGCCAAGGCTGTTATTTCGAATTAAGGGGCTGGTTATTTTGAAATAACTCCAGCTTTCCTTGGGAGAATAAGGTTATTTTGGAAACTCCCAAAATTTCCTAGTGTAGACATGCCCTCTAAGTAGAGACAGATTGTAAAAGGGAACGGATGGGTTAGCCAAGGCCACTGGGTACAATGAGCTTATGGTGGGAAGGGGAGGGGAGGAGACTGGGAATGGCTGGGCAGAGAAGGGAGGGGATCAAATTAGAAGGGATGGGACATACAGGCTCAAGTGTAGTGGGAAGCAGAAATCAAGAAGTCTATTCACTAGAGTAAGCTCTATTTCAAAGCCCAGAGTTTCCAAGGTTTGAGTTTCACCATTCCATTGTCAACAAATAACTGCAAAACCATTGGCAAATGTCTCCTCCCGTTCTCTCCCCCTCCACTCCCAAACTCCCACCATAGTCCAGGATCAGAGAGGGCAATATCCTGGTATCATTTATGCCACGGACTCAAGTGATGGTAGGCTGTGTTGTGGGTCTAAAGCTCCAACCCTGCAAATGACCCCTGTGAATGTCAGTATGACACAACATGATGGAATTTCTGGGTTTTTCAGTTGGGTTTTCATTAAAACCTAAATGGCATATAAAAACTAGGTTAAACAAGCAATACATTTGTGAAAGGGAAACATTCAAGAGCTAGGAAGAATTAGGATGAAGGTTTCCTGTGCTGTCTTAATGTAGCCTCTCCTTGTATGTATACATTGATAGTATCCTTTATTATTCAATGCATATCCATTCTGTACACGGAATCAGACAGCACTGCGGGGTGTCAGATATGGGACTATCTGTATCATAGAATAATCATAGAATAATAGGACTGGAAGGGACCTCGAGAGGTCATCGAGTCCAGCCCCCCGCCCTCAAGGCAGGATCAAGCTCCGTCTACACCATCCCTGACAGATGTCTATCTAACCTGTTCTTAAATATCTCCAGAGAGGGAGATTCCACCCCCTCCCTTGGCAATTTATTCCAATATTTGACCACCCTGACAGTTAGGAATTTTTTCCTAATGTCCAATCTAAACCTCCCCTGCTGCACTTTAAGCCCATTACTCCTTGTCCTGTCCTCAGAAACCAAGAGGAACAAATTTTCTCCTTCCTCCTTGTGACACCCTTTTAGATATTTGAAAACCGCTATCATGTCCCCCCTTAATCTTCTTTTTTCCAAACTAAACAAGCCCAGTTCATGAAGCCTGGCTTCATAGGTCATGTTCTCTAAACCTTTAATCATTCTTGTCGCTCTTCTCTGTACCCTTTCCAATTTCTCCACATCTTTCTTGAAATGTGGCACCCAGAACTGGACACAGTACTCCAGCTGAGGCCTAACTAGTGCAGAGTAGAGCGGCAGAATGACTTCACGAGTTTTGCTTACAACACACCTGTTGATACAACCTAGAATGCTTTACAGAAGTTGAAAGACATGTAATGAATGAGGCAGGGGACTGCAGTAAGAGAAAAGAATGGTCTTGTGGTTAAAGCAGTTGAATGCTGCCTTGAAAAGTATTGTGTCAGCCTTGCTGTAGAGCTCCTACGTGACGGCGGGCAAGTCACTTACACTTAGCAACCTCTTATAACAGTTTGTTTTCCTAAGTTGAGACCCTATCTAGACATTACAAATCTTTTTTTTATTTTTATGAACACAAGTAATGGATCAAATCTCTTCAGTGCTATTTTTTTTTAAAAGATAGATAGAAAACTTGAGTAAAATAGGAAAGTCATTAAGTCAGGGAAAAATGCATGGACTGGCTATTGCTGGTGTTTTCCCATCACAGCAAAAAGCACTGAGGCAAAATAAATATTTTGATGTCCACGTAAAAATGACCTGTAAGTAGAGGCCAAAGTTAGTAGAATCTTATAACATGTACAACTGCTGATGGAGATTAGCAAGAGAAGGCAAAACACAACTTGACTAAAAAAACAACAAATTGTCTAGTAGCACTTTAAAGACTAACAAAACATGTAAGGCTACGTCTACACTGGCCCCTTTTCCGGAAGGGGCATGTTAATTTCAGCTATCGTAGTAGGGAAATCCGCGGGGGATTTAAATATCCCCCGCGGCATTTAAAAAAAAATGTCCGCCGCTTTTTTCCGGCTTTTAGAAAAGCCGGAAAAGAGCGTCTACACTTTTCCGGTTTTTAGAAAGGCCGGAAAAGAGCGTCTACACTGGCCCCGATCCTCTGGAAAAAGCGCCCTTTTCCGGAGGATCTTATTCCTACATTTTTATTTAAATGCCGCGGGGGATATTTAAATCCCCCGCGGATTTCCCTACTACGATAGCTGAAATTAACATGCCCCTTCCGGAAAAGGGGCCAGTGTAGACAAGCCCGTATGGTATCATGAGCTTTTGTGGGCAAAAACCACTTCTTCAGATGATTGGAGTATAGTAAGTCCAGATCCAAGAATAAATAAGGGAAAGTAGAAGAGGTAGAAGTGGAGGGGAAGACAAAAAACAGTGAGTAGATAAAACTTTACTGTTTTCATGTTTATTTAGGTGTGTGTGTGTGTGTGTGTGTGTGTGTGTGTGTGTGTGTGTGTGTGTGTGTGTGCGTGTGTGTGTGTGTGTGTGTGTGTGTGTGTGGTGCTTTATAGTCATACAAAAACAAGGTTACACCTGTTAGCAGCCACATAAAGTTTTGGTCATGGACATTCTTCAGAGAATTCCTAGACCTGTGTGTAAGCTGATAGCATAATGGCAACTGACCACAGAGATGAGATGATTTCACTGGA